CGTTAGGACATCGTCTTCTAATTCTGGAGTGAGATTCCCCTTCGACGTAAAGAATTTCATTTCACCATATCTTTAAATAAAAAGATACAATCGGTGACACAGATTTTTTAAAAAATTAAACATGTCCAATAATTTCAATAAAGAAAATAAACAAATAACTTCGCATTTATTAAATAATCTAGAACATACCAGTGTAGTTTGGTTTTTATGTTGATTTCAGTTTATTACATATGCTCGACATACTGTATACCGTATACAAGAATTGCATTTTTTAATAATGATAAATAAGTCATAAGATGGCTTGAATTGCGTGCATCCGGAATTGTTGTTACGAGACAATTAACATCATACTCCAATTTATCGGCGACTGTTAATCTCGCTCGGTAATTATGGATACGAGATATTTAAAATCCACAGCACAACCATTACAATTCCCAATTTGACTTTTAATGAAACCATCACTCTTCTCCAGTTCACAAACCTGCTCTTCATACATCTAATCATATATCCATTAAGGTTCGTCGTTTTATTACTCAGTTCGTTCGACTCTCCATTATTACATATCACAACCACGGAATCGTTTGCTTCATCGTTCTTGCAATTACCGATTTTCGGCTGCATCAGCGACGTAATCGTCCCTGAAGTACCTATTGGCACATCATTTATCACTCTGTGAGCATTACTTTTTTCGCCAATTATCCAACTTGTCAACTCTCCAGCGGACCTCGACAACCAGTAACTAACATAAATAAAAATAAAACTTGTGATCGCGAAGTTTGTCCAGAACATTTCTGGAGGTGTGACCACCAATAATCCTTTAGTATCGGCCGCCATCCACACGTGAAATTGAGTGATGAAAGTCTCTAACGAGAAATGTCCGAAAAATACAAACAGTCCGCTTGTAGTGTTTCTTAAATATTTTGTGGCATTACGAAGGATTATGAAACTTAGTATGGCCAGGAAAGAGATGTAAGGGTGATAAATATTATATTCGAGTTTGCCAAGTCTCGAAATTCCAAAGATGTAGCCGATCAATATTACGAGGGATAAGAGAATGATATTGTGTCGTAAAATGGGAAAATATGACTTTTCGGAAATTCGAGATTCTTGAAATTTAATGTTGATGAGCCCTACTAACATGCCGACAAATACTATCAACAAATCGAGCCGTAGTCGGAATCTCCATTCGTGCGCTGACCACGTGATATTAAAGAGATAATTAAAGAGGTCAAATGTTTTTTCCAATACTCCGGGAGTTAATACGAACAAACTGCAGACTATAATCGAAAGAATTATTTTCATGAAGAGGAAGCGCGTTGATCTATTTTTATTGGATCTCAGGCGCATGGTTGCGTATATTACGAAGAACCAGAAGGTGGTTAATGGTGAAAAGTAATATAAAAGGTAATTTGTGTCCATGAGATATGTCAAGATGATGGTTTGCAAGTTTAGTCGAATTACCACCGTTGCCACTCGTTGAAGACTGAAGTCTGCTTTCTTGTAGAAGAAGTTGAAGTGTCCATAGCCCGTCATGAAAAGGTATGCGGCCACGAGCACACGGATCGAATTATAAATACCGTGGACGCTCGATGCACCAAAGTAATGATACACCAATATTGCGAGCTGCATCCAACCTTTCCATTCGTCGGTTTGATCTCGGTTAAGGAAGGGTTGTTCTTTTTCCTTGGTCCTCGTGGTGAAAAAACCTATGAGGACGTAGAATAATGTGAGAAAAGTGAATTTTCGTGAATCGAATTGTTTTTGGGATTTCGAGAATAAGATGGTCCGATCTGACAAGAACATGTATGTTACGGAGAGGCCGAAAGTCATGAGTGAAAATAATATTGATCTGGATGGAACAATTTTTTCCAGAAGCTTCACCATTCTAGTTTCTGTAAGGTACAAAACGCGCACGTTAAAAAATTTCCCACAGGTTCTAGATATAATAAATAACTAGAACACGAACCATACGTTCTATAATAAATGCCTATGGGGACGACCACCAAGAAGAACATTATTATTAGAGATTGTACCCAATTACTTCTGGGATACCTATAGCAACAAGTATTTTCCATGGGTGCCTTCTTTGGTAAAATGTTGTTACATCTGAGATTTAACAAAACTTCCGCATGCACGTTCGTTAAATCTTCGGTGAAATGCAATCCATCTTGTGTAGCATTCGGAACTCCATCGAGGATCTTGTTAAAAACAAAAGGCACATAAAATTTCCCTCCTCTCCCCCCGATAGTATCAGTTTGCTGTCGTCTCTTGATATAAAGATATTCATTCATATTATCAATGTCATGCTTGTGCATCGTGTTCTCACGAGCTTGGCTTAGCCTTCGGTAGAACAAATGTTCCAACGGCGCTACAAGTATTGTATCGGTAATGTTTTCTGACCGTATTGATGTCGTAATAGAATCCAGTATTTTGTTCATATTCTTTTTCCACACCTCAACTCCGCCCGAATCCCGATATCTCAGATACCATAATCCTGATCCTAGTAATAAAATGCTCGGTCTCTTTCCAACTGGTCTTCGGGAGAACATCAGGTCAACCCTCGATGAATTTAGATAAGGGTCCCATATGAATTCGAAATTTATGTCACTCGCAGAAATATGCAGATTTGAGTGAGCATTGTTGGTTGTATTTACATCGGGGTTCACTTTTTTTACCAAGGTGTAGAAGAGTGTTCTGACCACGGAATCACCAACAAACAGGACGCGTCGATTCGAAAGGCATGTCACAATGTCACGGAGTTGATATTTACGCATCATGCAACCTTTGGGTTGCCAGTTTTTATGTTGGAGGGCACCATCTAACCACCACCCATCTTCCAGTAAACCCTGACATCGATACCTATCTGTGATGTCTTTTTCGAGCGATTACATGAGATTAGTAAAAAAAAAAACGGTTTAAAGAAATTTGGGTAAAGTAATCAACCCTCAAAGATAATGCTCACTTTGATGATAATTGATGATCGCGTAGAAAAAAACAAAAGTTATTAATACGCAAAAAATATAATGTACAACGTTCGATCTAAATGAAAAATATTGATGCGAATATATCATCCTTCGATTTCGATTAAATGGTGATTCTTTAAAACGATAGTATCTTAATGGATAACATTAAATGTCTTTAAGAAAACTAATCGGAAATACTAGTTTCAGTTTAATACGTACTTACGTAATTCCCACTTCAGAATCGAATATTGATGGTGAATTTGAAACAATGCCTTGTTTCACCTCTATTCCCACGTTACTGTAAATGCCTTATCATGCCCAGAAACAAAGAATCGATTAGATATAAATCGCACCGACGATTAAAATAATTGCGTATGTAATATGACACTTGTTCTGCACGTTGCCTTTAATGAACATTAACAATTAACTGAAACCTAATCTACTTTCTATTTTTATCCGATAAAGCGACTTACCATTTACACAGCGAATCCTATGTATAATAATCTTGATACCGTTTATCTTATTATCTTCGGATTGCCACTTTAAAAAATACAATGTTCGACTTACTGTAAGTGCAATCAAAATTTCAGAAGCTATCTCGCTTCGAACAGACCATTAAATATTTAATATTATGTATTGTATTAATGTAAAATTCCATATGAAAACGTGATGAAATAACAATCATTTAAAATATTTATTCAATTAAAAAAGAAAAATTGCTTTATATTAAAAATGTGGATTCTTTTTTGAAAAAAAAAAGTTTAGTTTTCATGAGTAAACTCAAATAAATAATTTTTTTTTTTTTACATTTTTATACATTATTTGATTTAATAATAATAATAATAATAATAATAATAATAATGGTGATAATAGTAATAACAATATTTTTAATATCAATTTTTTTAATTACAAATGAACATTAAATAAAAAACTTTATTTAAACAAATACTGCATGTTTACTGTTATTATATTAATGTTTTCATATATTATTAGTCCACAGGTTAATTATAGCTTATTGCAATACAACTATTGATATTAACTTATATCAAATAGATAAATCTATACTATACATGTAATATAATTAAATTTGATCAATTTTTTAAAAACCATTATAATAGAATTATCAAATAATATATTATAAATAATTGAAATTTACATTTACTTTAAAATTGTATTGTTAATCAAAAGTTTTTATAATAATACAATATACTGTATATAACAAGATATACAGTATATTGTAAAAAAAACAATATATTTTATATGCTTATATAGTAAATTAAGTATTAGCTTGCCTGTAATAATTAAATGACTAATATTGAAAAAAAAAATTTTAAACAATATATCTTATCAAATAATATTAAGTAACTATAAATATTTACTTAGTATTAAGAAAAATAATATTTGATAATATTGATATTAAATTTTAAATAATTATATTTTATTAAATAAATAATTTTTGATAACTATAGAAAGTAGATTAATAATGATTTTTTCTTGAAAGATATTAATAAATAAATTATTATTCAATAAAATAATATTTTTTTTATTTTAAAAAATTTATTATATTGAAAAATTTATCAAGATTCTGTTTAATTCTAATAAATAATAAAATATCAATATATTACAATATAGTTTTCAAATCATATTATACTGTATATTTGAGTTAAAGATTCTAATACTATTTTAATTTAGTTAATAAAGTTTAATATAAAAAATTTTTATTTGTTATATTATATGACAAGTTTTATAATTTGTCAAATATAAAAGATTGATTTGTAATTATTATTTAGATAAAAAATTTAATTAATAGTTTAAATAATTTAATTAAAATCTCAAAATATTTAAATATTTTTAATACAAAACTTGTATCTTAAATAGTAAGTATTTAAATATTAATTAAAATAAAGTTAATAAGATATTTAATAAGTAAAAAAAGTTATTATTATATATTTGTTTAATATTTTATTGAATTAATTAAATATTTTCAAATCATATTGAATATATATTTGCTCAAAGATTTAAAAAACAAAAGAGTTTTCATAAAATATATATAGTTTTTAATGATATTTGAAATTTTTTTATATCATCTTATATTGTTATTTAGATATATATTATTTTTTGGGAGAATAGATATATTCTTGTTTAACTTTATTAAAATAACAAATTAAAATACAATATTGTATATATGCAAAATATTATAAGATAGATCAATGTATTTTTTAAATTATAAAGTAAACTTATTAGAATTACTCCACCATATAACTTGTTATCTGTTTTGTAAAAAAAACAAAGTATTGGAATTTTCTTAAAATGACTAATCTGTCAAGGCACTATCAATACCCTTGGAATAAAAACTAGTTGTAAATATTTCTTCTATATTGGATAAGTATTTTATATAACTAATTATATATCCATTAATGATATGTAAATATCTGTTCTTGATTTTTTGATTTGTAGTTATTTCTATTTTTGTTTTTTGTTTTGATCTTCAAATCTTTTTTGTATTGTTATGATTTTGTGTTGTTTTTTCTATTGTAAAAACTTTTTATATCTTGTTTTTTATACTTTTTATAAGTATTTTCTAAGTCAGTTATAGTAGCTTTTGATGTATTTTTGTAAATCTTAATTGTTTAAATTTTTTTTGAGTATGATAATAGTTGTGTAAGTGATTGCTTCTTTGATATTTAAGTTTAAAATTTTGCTATTCCAAAATTTAATATGTATTTGTAACTCTTTAATAAGATTATATTTTGTTTTGCTATTACTATATGCATTTGCTTCTTCATTTAAGATTGTGATTATTTGTTGTTTTGTATAGTTAGTTTATTAACCATAGATAAATAAATATGTTGTAAATTCCTTTTCTTGTTTGCAAAAAACATATGTTTTACTTGGATATAATATATTGTTTTTTTTGATATAACTTGGTTAATATAGGAAGTTCTATGTTTTACAGCTTGTTTTGAAATTTTCTTTGTTGTAATTGTTATGGTTTGTTAGATATTAGTGATTTTTAAAAGATAAATATTCATGTATTTTTTCAATTAATTTTTTTGTATATATATAGACTGATATTTATTTTGTTTTGATTTAAAAGTCTCTATTGTATAATATATTTGAAAAATAGATATTTTTTGATTCCTGTTTTGATAGGAACTTCTAATTAAAATATATATTAATTGATAAAATGTAATAAGTTGAATTTGTTGTTATTGTTATTAACATTAACTTGTGTTATACTATTAAATGTTGTAGTTTTCTTGGCAAGTTTGTCAGCTATTTTATTGTATTCTAATTCAATATGCACCTTGATTTTTATAAGTGTTAATTGAATATTATAGTTAAAAATAATTTGTTAAATAGTATTAAATATGTGAATGTTTTTCAGTTTTTAATAACTTTATTTGAATCTGTTAATATTAAGTTAATACTGTTAATTGCTACCTGGTTATTTGTGAAGATTATAACTTTTATTTGATATAATATTGTTATTAGTACTGTAAAAATAAATATTAGTTCTGCTTTGATTAATAACAAATAGAGAGAGGTTTTTTTTTGAAAGTTTATGTTGCCTGAAATGTTACTGATTATTTATTCAATATTTATTTATTGATTGATTAGTGATTCATTTATGTATATTTGAATTTGTTATTTTGATTGTATTTGATTTTAGATAATGACTAATTTTCATATTGTTTCTGATAAAAAGGATATACTGTAAATTATAGGATATGTGTTTGATGTTTGATAATAAGATATATGTTTATTATTGGTTGTGATATAAGTGTATGTTGTGATGTTTTATTGTAATCAAAGTATACTTGAATGCTAGTTGGTGATATACATACTCTATTTTATAATTCATTTATTGTTAATATTTTTTGTGAATTTTTTTGACTTTTGTATACTGGAATAGAAATTGTTTAGTTATTATTTTTACTAAAATTTTTAAAAATTTTATTAACTTTTTATAGATACTATTATATATTATTAACATTTATCAATAATTATTAATTTTAGTTATATTTTCTATATAATATTTTCTTTCTTTCTCCAAGAATTCTCAAAATGTTTATATAGTTTTGAATAGTATAGCAAAGTTTAGAGAAATAGCTTTTGTTATTAAAAGAATAATATTTTAAGTAATTTAGAAAGGGTTGACTATATATATATATAATTTAACTTTGTTTAATTATATTATATCTTAATATTAATTATTTTTTTTGAAGAGGTTTTTCCAATAAATAAACATTAGTTCTTTATTTGATATTATATATAACAAGGTATATATTGTGAAAGAAACAACATCTCTTTTATTATTTCAGGAAAGTTAAATACTAGTTTGCCTACTTATTAATATCTAACTAATATCGTAAAAAAATTTAAAATCAATATTAATATGCTATATAAGACTAAGTAATAGCTATGCCTATTATCCCAGAAAATTTTGTGAATTTTTTTGATTTTTTAAATATAAAAAATTAAAAAAATAAATAAAAATAATTATAACTAAAACTAAATCAAATATACTATAAGATCCATGCATGTAATGAAAGAATTTTCAGATGGGCTCATTGTTCTATCTCTTTAGTTTTCCAAGTACTATAGATAATAGAGTACATGTGATGTTGTTTGTTATTATAGTTATTGATAGTAAGTTAGTTGTTATTGTTGTTGTAATCATTATTGTGATACAAAACCAGTTTGAGTTTGTTTGGATTTTGTTTTGATCTTTAAGCAAAATCTGATTGGATGATTGGAGGGCACTAATTATCTGGAGGAAATAAACTAATTTAGATTTTTTGAATGAA